GGGAGTACCCTAGTTTGAATCGGTTCTCGTGTAGGGACATGTGTATATTCATATTTTATCTACTTTTGCTTGGATAGTATACCCAAAGATACTCCACTACCAAGTTGCTTCAATTGCCCTATCTTGCGTCCGCGCGAGACTTGGGCGCTACCTGTAGCTAGCGCGTAACGGCCCGTGGTACAAGGGTAAACAAACGTTCCAGCGCTCTTGACAGAAAGCGTGCAATTCTGCCTGCCGGGAGTGAGAGAGGGAGTGAAAGAGGGAGTGAGAGAGGGGGGAGAGAGAGAGAGAGAGAGAGAGGGGAGAGAGAGAGAGAGAGAGAGAGAGAGAGAGAGAGAGAGAGAGAGAGAGAGAGAGCAAGATCTTGTTTTTGTTTCATACCACTAAGAAGAGACTAGGACAGTTCAAATATGCCAGATATTGTTATATAAAAGATCGTGACATCAAGTAATAAAAAGAAATTGTAAACCAAGACTGTATATCGCCACAATAAGTTAGCTTCTAAAGTTAGACAAAGAAATTTACTCTCAATGCACACTGTCAATAGATGTATTCGTCTGGTAATTCTGTAATTAATATGTCTACCAGTGACAATGTGCTAGACTTACTACGACGCTTTAACCATCATTGCGACATCAAATGACTAAACAGCAAACTAGGTGAGTTTGATTGGTGAACATCTGGCCAGCACTAATTAAGCAGTGCAAATTAATTTCTTGCTCAATTCTAATTTGTTTTTGTACCAACCCCACTCCCCCATTCCCGTCCGTTTTCTCATCGCTCCCGCTGCTCTTACACATCATGTCAATACGCACTGTCACACTGTCAGAAATACACACTATACAGGTGATATAATATATTTTTATAACCCTGGTCGATCGGTCGATCATAGTCAGATGATGTGTGTTTGCACTGAAGCAACAGTGACCAAGTGCCATTTGTCGTCCACGCCGAAATAGCAAACTGATGAACGTTCGACACCAGTAGCATTCAAGTAACTCGCCACTTAAAATTTTTAAATAATTTTCCTCGTTTTTTGTTTGTGGATTTTCAGTTTCTTTTCTTCCTTCTCATTCACAGCACCTCCCCCTTTTTCCTTTTCTTAATTTGTGTTATCTTTAAACAATCTCAGCAATTCTCGTGGTCACACACACACACACACACACACACACACACACACACACACACACACACACACACACACACACACACACACACACACACACACACACACCAAGCAGTTGGCGATGAAAACAACCTCGCGTCGCCTAGTGACGTAGCGCATCACGCGTTAGGCTCTGGCCACACTGCAAGCAGAGCGGGCACAGTAGAGCGCAGCAGTGAAAATTATTACAAAAACAAAGAGGCGACTAGCTGCGCGACTCGGGGCGGGTCACGCGCAAAGATGGCGGTTTATTTATTGCCGCTGGCTTAGCTTGAAATTTGCTCACGTCTGCACGCACGTTTTTGTTAAGTGTCAATAAAAGAAATAGATAAAAAGCAAAGAGGAGGGGGGGAGAGTGAGGGGGGAGAGGGGAGAGAGTGGGGGGGGAGAGAGAGTGAGAGAGAGAGAGAGAGTGATAGAGAGAGAGAGAGAGGGGGGGGAGAGAGAGAGAGAGAGAGAGAGAGAGAGAGAGAGAGAGAGAGGGGGGGGGGAGAGAGAGAGAAAGAGAGAGAGAGAGAGAGAGAGAGAGAGAGAGAGAGAGAAATAGAGAGAGAGAGAGTGAAGGGGAGGGGCGCCAGAGAAAATGAGAGATGAATGAGTGTACACAAAGGGAATGTTTTAGAGAACAATGAATAGGTATTACTTGTATTCGTGCTCAGGCGTGTCCTGCGTGCAAACGTGAGTATATTTTCAAGCTTTGCGAGCTAAGATAAATAAACCCGATTTAATTGCGCTCGAAAACGATGGAAATGTTCTCCCTTCTGTTTGACATTCAGTGACAATAACAATGACAAGAAAGGAAAAAGAAAGTACGTTACAACTTAGAAAAGGGTGATGAAAAGCAGAGTAAACTATTGTAGAGACTTGACAGAACGTCGGGTTGTGAACCTAGCACAGACGAATTAGATCTGAAGTTTATTTACAAGCGCTTTATATACGCATGTGCGCATTAATAATAAAACAACATTTGTTTAACTGGACTACTTTAGCACGCAAATATATAATAACATAATTATACCTGCCGACCCCATCGTTAGCCCCAACATTCCCTTCGCCAACCCTTTCATCTCTCACACACACACACACACACACACACACACACACACACACACACACACACACACACACACGACCCTGGCTGAGAGTGATACAACGTCTAACCAGAAAAAAACTAAATACTTGATAAACGTTCTTGCTTACTCTGGAATCGAACACAGGTCTTCTACGTGAGACAACGAAGTGCCTACCGCCTCACCACAGACACAGGTTGTTTGTTGTGAACAACGTATTACGTTGTATGTGTGTATGAGTGTATATATTTGTGTGTGCGTGTGTGTTGTGTGCATGTTGTGTGTGTGTGTGTATGTGTGTGTGTGTGTGTGTGTGTATGTGTGCGTATGCGTGTGTACGTGTGTTTAGTTACGTGTTTAAAACTCTCTGTATATTGCAAAACTCAGATATTATCGTCGATTTGCTTTTAAACACGCTGAGGTTTCTATGATTATTATCATGTTCGTATTTCCAATTCACCACAACAGGATAAAGCATGAGAGAAAATTAATAAGAAATTTTTAAAAGAAGTTAGATGCCTTTCCATCGTATTATTCTGATCCTCGTTTCACTGTACCCTCTTTTTATTCAGATATCAATGGAAGAATTTGCAGTCAGATGTTCGGGTGCACCCATTTCTTTCTTGCTTTTTATCTGTTGAGTGTCCTGGTCGACCAGGACAAATAGCGCCAGTCATTTCCTATCCATGGGCAACTGAAACTGATATGAAAAAATAACGACATATGACGTCGCATTGCACCGCCCGCAGAGCGCAGCTGTTTGAGGCGTTAACATTGGGTGGCCACACTGCAAGCAGAGCGGAGCGGGCGCCGCTGCAATGCAACGTCGTGTGGCATTGTATTTTCATATCAGTTTCAATTGCCGTTATCTACTTTCTTTTTCCTTTCTTGTTGTTGTTGTCACTGAATGTGAGTTGATCTTGCGTTTTGCGCGCGATCATGACTGTGTGCGCGCTCAGTCGTGTTCTGCATGCAGAAGTGAGTAAAATTCGAGCGTTTTCGAGCGCCGTTAAATCGGGTTTATTTATCTTAGCCCGCAAAGCTTGAAAATATACTCACGATTGAACGCAG